TGGTGGGCATGTTGGGGAGAGGTTCCAGTAACCACCCCCCAAGTTTTGAGCCGCTCTGGGCATGCGTGGTGGGGTTCCTGCGCATGCCCGAGGTCTGGGTGCGAAAATCCGTTAAGAGCTTGCTACAGTGCCGATCGATCCAGCGCATGCGCACTAGATCCCATGGGTGTGTGTGCACAGATGACCACTCGAAGATCATCAGTTACAGGTAAGCAACCTGTTTTTACTGCTCTGAGAGCTGTGATTCTAAATATCGAATTGTTATATTACTTTGTACGTGACGTTTGGATGCATCTCATGATCTTTGCCATTAGAGCTTAACCTTTTCCGCCCTTCTCCTTTTCGTCATCCAGTGCTAACCGGTGCTGCTGAGGAAAGAAGTCTCTGGGTCTAGATGGGACTAAGCCTGCCACACTGATAACAGGAGAGCGGCAGGCAAGGAAGGGGACATCCCACTGGACAGTGTCAAAAGAAGAACAATGAAGGTAATTAGCTCAGCTGGAATGGCTGGTTTAAGATTAGAGCGATTTTAGAAATTTATTTGTAATACGTGCTTATCTGCAGTATCTCACTGGACAAGATAGTGCTGCGTGTCCAACCATCCATCCAGGAAAGTCGTCTTCGTTTGTTTGTCTCTTCATTCCTGTAGTCATTGGAAGAGCAGTCGTGTGGATTGGTGGGGTGGATGGAGAAGGGATAAGGGGATGAATTGGACTCCTTTCTGCAGGGGAGCTGTGCTTTCAGAAGAGCCATTTGTCCTCCCTCACTCTGACTGCTGTTCGTCCACTCTGGTCCCACAACTCTCTTTCAGTCTAACCTACCTCCACTGGATGGTTGCTGTCAAGGCAAAATGGAGGAGGGGGACAAAGATGAGCCTACCTGGGAATAGTGTCTTTGAATAAGAGATTGTCCTTCAATCGCTGATTTTCGTCTTTTACTATTTATTTAAAACAATGCTATCCCATCTTACATTCTCAGGCACCTAATAGTGCAACACCAGGTTGCAAGAATACAAAATGTAAGCGTGCAATTAACAAGATTTTTTAAAAAGTGACGTATTTCAAAACTTCATAGAAAGATCTCAAAAATGCACAGGCTACAGATGTAAAAGTACAGAGAATTAAACCAGAATTTTAACAATCCTCTTAATGGATGAGGTACAAAGGACGTATTGTTGTTGTGGTGGCTACTTTTATTGACTGGATGTCTGACCTTCCTCTCCCCCCCCCCTTTTTTTTTTGGTACTTGCTCACAATCCCAGAGAATAAACGTGGAAGCTTGAGCAGTTCTGTGGCATCACCAGGGTTATCAAACTGTTGAAGACACGGATTTGTCCTCTGTTGACACCATGATGGCGGCTGTCATGAGCTTGGGGAAGATACCTGAAAATGGTGTGGTGTCTCCAAACGTTAAATCCCCACCAAAATCGCTTACTCCTAATCGGATTGGCCGTAGAAACCAGGTAAAGAATAAGCAGACTTTTTTTGATACAGAATACTGTCGTTTTTTAAAAACAAAGCAAGCTTCCCCTCAATCATTTGTGGCCACCAAGTCCCACAGTCCCAGTCTCATTATGACCTGGTATGTTAAAGTGAATGCAATCCAGTTTAATTTTCTGTCTGTTAAAATATGTTTAACCTGCTTTTGGTCCTCTGCTGTGTCTTAAGACCATCAGTTTAAAGGCATGAAACCGCAGCACAAATGCACTTTTAAAAAAATCCAGGGCTTTGCTGTTATGATCAACACTTTGATTTCGTATAGGCATTTGCCAGTTTATGGCAGGTCTTTCCCCCCCGTACACGAGCTTATCCATCCTTGTATGCACAGTTTGCCATAGAAATTGTATTGTGAAAATTGGAGGTATACAGATTACAGCAGGGATGGTCCCATTGTGTATGAATAAATATCGCTGGTACCTGAAAAAGTGCAGCCATGGTAGCACATTGCCTGGGTCTCGTGTTTCATGGCCGTGGACGCTCATAGCATGCAGTTCCCTTCATCATTTCCCAGGCTGCATCCTTTGCTGTGTGATTTCCAGAGCAGGAAAGGAAACCTGCAGTGATTTCTGGCTGTTTTCAGCTGTGGGACCATAAGATGAGAAGAGGTAGAGCCTGTTACCAGCAAGTGACTGGGCTTCCTTTTGGATGTCAGGTGTGATGAACTGACCTCCAAAAGCAGGCTGCTTAGTGCATCAGATTCAGAGAACTGGAAAATTAGGGATTAATGCCTCATTGTAAAGCTGATGCCTGCATGCCTCTTTCTGATTGGTGAATGGCAGCTGAGGAGAGCTTTCAAAAGTCTTTTTGTTGTTGTTGTATTTTTTAAAAATATATGTGTTTGTGTGTATGTGTGCAACTAGAAGTCATGGTGACTTCTGGTGACTGACCCCTACTGGGGGCCCAGAGCATATTCAGAGAGGTGGCTGAATAAAGCCTGCCCCCACCTCCGGTATTCCAAGGAGGTCTCCCATCCAAGTACTTGCTAGAGTCGACCCTGCTGAGCTTCCGAGATCTGACAAGACAGGTTTGCTTGACCTATCCAGGTCAGGGCAAACTTTCAAAAAGTCTTGTCAGTCTGGTCAGAGAGAGTCAGTCATCATTTGGACTTTGGCTTGGCAGTAGCCAATCAAAAGGAGTGTTTGTTCCAGTTTGAGGGAAACAGACAAGTTCACTTGGGAAGTGGAGGGACATGACTCCTTGCCCTTACTGCGTACCATCACATTTGAGGGAAAAGTTCAGAAATCAGAATTTACAATCTTAAGTATTGCCAGTCTAGCCAAACAGAAAAAAGATTATTGCTCCTAGAAAGAGGAGGATATTTCTTCCCCTGTTATTCGGTGGGTTCAACTCAGAAGGGAATCCTGGTTTATGTGAAAAGGGAAATTGTCTTAGACTCCTCAAGTGTCAAAAAAGAAAGTTGTAATCCCACAAGTGAAGTATTTCAATACAGGAATAAAGTGCTAACTTCCAGGAAACTCAGATAGTTATGAGAGACTTTATTGGGATACATTGTTGCTGAAACAAATCTCCAAGGCAAATGAATACTTCACCGTTAAGAACTGAGTCTCTATACTCTGTTGCCTGTTCAAGATATTATGATTTGTATAAACAACAAAATTTACCGCAACTTCTTGTCCCCTGCCCTATTCCTAACCCAACTGTGCCTGTTCAATAAAATCAACTTTCTTTGTTTGAACTTTACTTCATGTCAAATGCCATTTCCAAAGGGATTTATAAGAGGGCTCCTGCTTAGATAAATCCCTGGCCTGGGCAAAAACTAACTAACTTCTCTATCACAGGGTGGGACATGCAGAAAGTTATAATTCCATTATTAAAACACGCTACTAAGAGGCTGCTCAGTCAGAGTGGTGAACAGCATTTTGGTGGGAAAGTCTGCCTCACAATGAAGAAGAAGCAGGGGTCTGTCATATCAAGCAGGCGTAGTTGAATTGTTCTGGGAGGGACAAAACTCCTAACCATTGTTTGTGTTCTCTCAGGGCTATTTCAGTCAAGACAGTGTCACCCATTAGTACACCGGAAAACATGCAACGAAATACTCTTTTGTTGGCAGAGGCAAACATGCTGCATGTTACCAAGTGCTCTTGTGATGTTTAGCCTGGTGACTGAGCAATCAGGATGGATCTTCAAAATCTTGCCGCTAGAATGGTGTAAGGGACTGAGGGCTGAGCCATGGAAGCTTGCAAGTTTGCTGTTCCCATGCATGTGGTACCCGGTTTCGCGTGCTGAAATGTTCCTGGGGGGCTCTGCTTGGCCTGTTGGGGGAAACTGATGAGTCTGCTTTCCCCCAGCACCCCCAACAGCACACACCTGGGATTATTACCAGTCAAGGCAATGCTGCAGAGAGAAAGGCTCAGTCTCCATCCTCGATGCACGCCACAGTTGTGATCCAAGTCAGGCACTGTGGTCACAGGAATTGGGGAGAAAAATGCATGTCAGGTGTGAATGTTACACTGGGCACAGGGTGTGGTACCCAAACCCCATGTGTGCCATCTGTATAGCATGAAGAGGCTCTGAGAGTAACCCACCTTACAGGGTTGTAGTGAAGAAGAAGAGATTGGATTTATACCCCACTCTTCACTGGGAGTTTTAGAGCTTCTTACAATCTCCTTTCCCTTCCCCTCCCCACAACAGATGCTCTATGAGGTAGACGGGGCTGAAAGAGCTCTGAGAAAACTGTCCTTGAGAGAACAGCTCTGACAGAACCATGGCTTGCCCAAGGTCATCCAGCAGGTGCAAGTGGAGGAGTGGAGAATCAAACCCGGTTCTCCCAGATTAGACTGCACGCACTTAACCACTTAACCAAAGAACAGTGTATGCCAACCTGAGCACCTTTGAAAAAAGGGTGGGATAGAAATGTATTAAAATAACCAGTGCAAAAGAGATTTGGTTCCAACCTTCAGAGCTCGTCACTGTGCTTTAAAGTTTATTCCTTCCAGGAGGGCTAGAAACAACTTCTTTCTTTCTTAACCCCCCCCCCCAAAAAAACCAAACAAACTACAGTTCTTAAAAGACTTGCAGGGGATCTTGCAAGTGTTACGGAGTCTTTCTGGAGAGCGGTGTGATGTGGAAGGCGCTCATTTCTCACTGCTAGCCTGCCCTTAAGGGCCGGATTTAGAATGAGAAAGGACTGAACTTAGGCTAGCATTAGAAAAACGAGTGTGTTCAGATCCCTCAGGAACAGGGCATCAGACTATGTGAGCTGCCATCCCGGTTTGATCAATTGCAGGCGTAGTTGAACTGCCTTGCTCAGAGAGAGGCGAGGAGGGGCGCCAGGGCACAGCTGCCTGTCAGAATAGCATGTGGTTGGGGTGGGTTTTGTGTGTGTGTGTGTGTGTGTGCGCGGGCACAGGCGGGCAGGCTGCTTCAGGGCAGTCCTTTACAGCCACTGACCTTTTAATTCCAGCAGCCTTTTCGCTGGGCATTAGATCAAGAGAGTAAATGTGAGGGGATTAAAAGAGATGCTTGTGTGTTACAAAAATAAATAAATAAGGGGGGGGATGTGTTGTGGGGAGAGGGAGAGTGGTTTTCCCTGTAGGTCAGCCCAGACGTTAGCCCTCCCATCCTGCTTGCTTGCTCAAGCTGTCTTGTGATAAGGAGGTTTTTGCACAGGCAGGCAAGTGGGTGGCAGTTTTTTAGGAGCCCGCTTCTGTGTTTGTGGCCTGGGGTTCGGCTTCCATTTTTGCTGGGACTGACCTGCAGGGCTGCTGCTGCTGCTCCTGTTGAAGGTGGACCCATTATTGCCCAACAGCTCTGGATTCCTGTTGAATGAGTGGCATTTGCAAGATTGTCTCAAGATTTTAAATTTGCATTGCAAATCTTTGGCACAAGAAGAGAGGAGGGGGGAGCAGCGGATGATGAAGTCTTTGATAGCTGTGCATCAAAAATATCTGCTAACCAGCTTTTACCGTGGGCAGTGCTATTAACTAGGTAATAAAATGCGCAAAGGCAGTATTCCTCTGACATGCTGGACGTTGGAGACAAACAAGAAGGCAAATGCCATCGTGTCCTGTTCCTAAATTTCCCAGCAGCTGTTGGAGGCAGAAAACTAGACTGACCTCTTCGCAGTCCAGCCATTCTGTTCTCAGGGTGCTACAATTTGGTGGCTTTTCTCTGTTCTAACCATAGAGCGGAGGGAAATTTTAAACACAGGGTTCTTGGCATTTCTGATGGTGACGGTTTCTTTGCTGTGGTGTTCTGTCTACCTCTTAAAGCGGCTCGTACTATGAACTCTGCCACTGTAAACTTTCTGTTCCTGTGCTGGGAGGGGCTCTCTGTGTGTGCACGTGCAGCGGGGGGGGGGTGTCTCCTGCCTGAGGACTTCGTCCTAGCTAGAGACCATGGCCTGTTGCGATTGTACATATAGCTACATTTGTACATATACCCTGTTTCCCCGAAAATAAGACCTACCCCAAAAATAAACCCTAGCAGGATTTCTATGCATTTGTGGTATAAGCCCTAGTGTGCCTTCTTGAGAAAAAATAAATATAAGACAGTGTCTTATTTTCGGGGAAACACGATATTTGAGTCCTGTGGCCCCCTCAGAGAGCAACGAGATCCCTTTGGGTTTGTACTCTCGAGAGATCCCTTTGGGTTTGTACTCTTGAGAGTCAGAACTCCCTTAGTCAGTACATAATTTCTCACCTCTCCGCCCCATCCATTTTCCCACACCAAGCTCTCATTTGTCTCTTCAGTGAGTCGGGAAGTGAAGCAACCCAATGCAGAACTCAGAATGAGTGGGGTCACTTGACCGTCGTTATCGAATTAGCTGCTAATTCCGTCTCTTAACTCAGGGAAGCACTCTTCTGTCGGCAGGGATCCAGGCCTGTGGTGCGGTGGTCTCCCTTTTTAAAGTGTCTTCTGGCCGAGCTACTTTTACAGAAGTTTAGCTCAGCTTTTGGTGCGTACACAGAATCCTCCCTGCTCTCTGGTTCACTGCTGCTATGGTATGCAGCCCAGTCACTGAGTGAGCAAGAGAGGAGAAGTTTGGAGGGGCTGGGTTAATGTTAAACCAAAGGACTCCTGCTAATCTGTGTTGGCTGAGCCACAGTGTGCCTTTCCCCTCCCTGTTTTTTGCAGGGGGCCGGTTCTTCCCCACCCTGCAAAAAGTGATGAGCAAAGCTTCTGAACAATTCATGCACAGAGCAGTAGACGATAGCTTTCCTTCAGCGGGGGAAACACAGTCTGATTTCACAGGCCCTGGGGATTAAAACTGTAAACGGTCGGCACAGCTGCAAGAGTTTTTCTTCCCTGTTTGTTCCCTCTTCTTGAAGACCATGTTTAACAGACTCGCAGCAAAGTGGGATATGAAGGCTATTCCATGAACGATTTTTTTTTTTGGGGGGGGGGGCTTGTCATACCCTGATATGCCCTGCACACAAATTGAAAGAGGGTTTGTTTGTATGACTGAACACACAAGTGTGAAAATACAAAATCTCCCCTGGTTCTCTGTTACCTGCTGTTTGCTAAATGAAGGTGAGACCAAAGGAAGCATGCAGTGCAGCATTAACCTGTGGAACTCATTGCTACAGGAATTGTTGAACATCAGTTATAGACTAAGGAATACACAGAAGGGCAAACCCATTAGTGTAAGAGGTTTGTTTTTCTTGGAAGTATTCAAATGTTAAAAAGGCACATCTCTCTCATTTTTATATTATTTTTGAATGATTTTATCATTCAGTCCTATAATTATAGGGGGGGTTTAATGAATGAGGGGGAAAGGGGATCAAGGAAAGACAAAGCAGATATCATATTTGAGGAGCAGTGGGTTTTCCATGACTGGAATGGCACTGAATCACCGGTTCTTAAAGACCCTTGTTTTGTGCTTGAAGTTGACCTATAATTTTTGTATAAGAATCTAGAAGCAGATGAAAGAGAGCAGTTCCATGTGTTTGTATGTTACAGTTGTATGGAGGATAACAGAACAGGAATAAGGTAGTGATACCCAGTACATAAAGAGATCTGGGCCTTGGATTCAAATGCCGCTTTGCAGCTATAGCACTCATACCACACTGCACTGCCTATACCAGTGTTGGCAGCTATAGACATGTATAAAAAGGAGATGTGCATTCCTAAACCTTTGGAGGAACACTGTGACAGGTCTCTGCCATTTTTTTGTGTGCTTACCTCAGTAAACATTGGTGTACCTGTGGTGCTATAGACATTATGAAGCCACATCAAACCAAAGTTTCTCGAAGTGATGCATTTTCTTTTCATTTCAATTCACGGTCTTTAGAATTTGCATCATTTCTGAGTAATATTTTGTGTCCTGTAGGCTTAGCGTATGAAAATGGATTGTGTGCGTGTGTGTGGGGGGGGGCAAAATAGCAGTGTTTTTGACTGAGTTACAATTTCTTCATGTTTTCTTCTTCGTCCTCCTCCTCCCCTCCTAAAAAGCTATCTAAGTCAGTATGGTGCACATTTCCTCAGGAGTCAGTTCTACCGAAATTGGTAGGACTTCTGAGAAGGGGGTGGGGGCAGGATCAGGCCGCCTTTCCTAAGCCTCGAAGGGCCTGATCAGACAGGCCTGAAGTGAGTGTATGTGTGTGAACTGTATGAAAGCATTGGTGACTTGAATTGTGTGGACAACTCTACCCTTTCCTGCAAAATGGTGTCTCACATTGGCTATTTAAAGCAATTGAGGGGAAGAGAAAGCCATTTAACTTGTTTTCATCCCAGAGTTCCATTCTGTCCTTGGTTTGAAAGGCCTACTGTCTGACTCAGCGTCTCAAGGACGTACTTTCAAAAGCACAGGACACTCTTCTTCTCTTACACTGAAATAAATTCTTCTGATTCTTCTGATTTGTAGCTAGAGTTGCCAACTTCAGTTTGGGAAATTCCTGGAGATTGGGGTGAGGGTAGAGCCAAAGGAGGGCAGGGCTTGGGGAGACGAGGGGCCTCAGTGGGGTGTAATGCCACAGAATTGACCCTCCAAAACAGCAGTTTTTTCGAGAGAAATTGATCTCTGCCGTCTGGAGCTCAGTTGAAATTCCAGGTGATCCCCAGGCCCCATCTGGAGGTTGACAGCCATATTTGTAGCAGTTGGAAAAGTCATGTCAATCATGCCTCGTGTGGGGGGCTATTTTTAAAAAAAAACAAAACACCAAAAATGACGATTATTACTGCCTTTCCCCCCACCCTCTCAGTCATTTTCAGTGAGGAGTGAATCTGGAACTCAGTGCCACAGGAAGGGACTCAGTGGAACAGCGTCTCTGGAGGTTTGAGCGGGGGAATAGGTGTGGCAGATATGAGGCAAAGCCTGTACCTACTGGAGAGGGGGACGATTGGTACTCCTTGAGCATCTTGTGGACAGTTATTCTTGGGAAGATCTCTGCTGTTACCACAGACATCTTAGTCAGATTATAGTTGGGAGAACATACATTACTGGTAGCTAATCTATCTAAGGTCCTGACCTGGGTAGCCTAGGCTGGCCTGATCTCACCAGTTCTTGGAAGCTAAGCAGGGTTCATATTTGGATGGGAGGCCACCAAGCAAGTCTCTGGTCGCTATGCAATGGCAGGCAGGGACAAACCACCTCTGAACATCTCTTGCCTTGAAAACCCTACGGGGTTGCCATTGATGCTCCCTCTAAGCTGTGGAGTCCCGTGAGCAAAAATTCTACTTTGTGAGCTACTGGGATTAAAGTCATGAGCGAGCTCTGGAGCCATCCTTCCAGAGCTAAGACAAAAATATGTGAGCCGGAGGCTAAAAAGCTGTGAGCTAGCTCACACGAACTCAGCTTAGGGGGAACACTGGTTGCCATAAGTCGGCGCAAGTTGTCGGCACTTTTCCTCCACCCAGCAGTTCATAGAACTCTTCGTTGTATGAAGTTGTCAATGTTGCTATGAGCTGTTCTTCTTCCATGCCTCTAGCTTGCTCTGGCCATCAGTGTTTAGAGTGTGTGTGTCATATCCTGACCTCTGGGGGTACCTGGGGTCCCCTAAAAGCATATTGAAGGAGTCGCCCACAGTGCACAATTGTAGGGTGATTGTGGCGTGGTAAGGCCACGAGTTCTGTGCTTGGTACCCCATTTGTGTTTCCTTCCAGACAGTAAGAATCTTCTACGTTGTGCAGGGGTCCCTTTGGAGACAAATCAGTGTGAAAAGCCTTCAAATATAGCAACAGCTTGAAAACCACTCCTGTTTCCTTTATTCTGTGTGCCTGACGTGTGCCAAATTCCATATAGTGAAGGGCTGAGCTACAACCTGATCGTAGGCCCAACACTATTTCTACCCCCACCCTTTTCATTATACTGTTTTAAGTACCGGTTGCAAATTTTTGGAAAGAACTTGCCTTCTTGAGGATCTGCTTGGATGATTTCCCAGGTAAGGTTATGTTGTGCCGTTTGCTTCAACAATGTGAGAGGTGTAATATTTGCAGTTGTCGAAATGTTGGTTTCCTCTTCCTTGAGTTCTGTGGACATTTCTCTGAATTTTTATTTCTATTTTTTTAAAACAACAACAACACAGGAAACAAAAGATGAGAAGTCTTCCTATACATGTCCTCTGTGTGAAAAGATTTGCACTACCCAGCATCAGCTGACCATGCATATTCGTCAGGTAAGCTGATGGTTTTGTTTATTTATCTACTTCATTTATACCTCTGCCCTTTTCCCCACTGGGGACTCAAGGCAGCTTACTTTGTCCCCCTGTCGTCCATTTTACCCTCACAACAACCCTGTAAGGTAGGTTAGACGCTTGAATTTTATGTGGGAAAGTGGCTTCCTGGTCTGGATTGCTGTCCTGTTCGGTGGAACGAATTTTCTCATTCAAGCTCAGGAATTAAGACTGCTGTACTCCCCCCCCCATGTATATGTTGCCTCAAGAAACGTTTTCTTTGTCCTTCTGCTCCTGCTGTATTCTCTTTCTGCGGTAGTCTTTAAAACACTGGAGGCTTGAGGGGAAAAACACTTAAGTAGTGAACATTGCCCATAGTTTCAGCACAATACTCTTCAGTCCCTTAGTTGGCGGCGGTGGCTGCTGCTGCCCCCCCCCCCCCCCCCCCCGCCACGAACAGACTCTGGGCGATCTACAGTCATTACGAAACATTTACAATTAATGTATAGTTAAAAAACAAAAAACATCAACAAGACAATAAATTCAACCAATCCAGATGGCAATTACACTGATGTATTCTGTGTCTTGTTCTGAATAAAGAAGCTTCTGGAGGCATTGGGTGTAGGGGGGGGGACACAGGCTGCATGTTTTAGGGATTGCAGGAACATACAAGATGCAAAGAGACCTTTCAGGACTATCTTGTTTAGGGGAAAAGGTTACGGTTGAGAGCAGTTTTCAGAATTTTCAAGGTTACCATAAATAAGAGGACAAACGAATGTTTACCTAACCTAGTGAAGAATAAGAAGCAATGGCTTTATCTTGGCAAGGAATCCACTTTCGACTGGCTATTGAAGGACTGTTCCTACCAGTTAAACAAAACAGATTTCTTGGAAGAGTTGTGGAATCGCCTTCTCTGGCAGTTCTTAAAGAGGAAGACTAGAGATGAGTCTGTTATTTTTGTGGTTAGGCCTTTAGGCAATCCCGGCTTGGCTGGTTCACATCTTAAGGTAGCTTCCAAAGTCAGTGCCTCAAAATACATTCAGGGGGGCTGCTTATGAAAGAGCACGCCCAGAAGCACACTGCTTGCGAGGAGTGCTGCATCCACGTGGAGACTGTGTGCATCTGCAGCAATTGTGTGCAATTCTGGCAGATCCCCTGCCCTGCTTCGTCCTTTTCTTTTTTAAACCCGCATGCAGTTTGTGGAAGTCACAGTGGCTGTCTCTCCTCCTTTTCCTCCCCCACCCCCTTGTTAAAATTCTCACCAACGGGGCCTCTGAGGGAGCGCTGGCTGGCTGCAAGGCAGCATCCTCCCCAGATCTTCACATGGGGTGGGCGGGAGGTACGAACCAGCTCAGTAGCCTTGGATGATTGGGTTAGATGACTCAAGAAGTAATCCACTTAATTCCATTTTTACTGGACCAGTCGATAGTGAAAGGGTTTTTCTGAATGCTCCACTTTTCATGTAACGTAACCCCTCCCGAGGCTATATTTGAAGGCAAGGGAGCCCACAGTTGTTAGTCTTTCAGATGTCTGAAGACGGTTCAGTTTGGTTAAGAGTCCCAAACTAGAATCTGAAAGAACCCCCCACTCTACCACGGAAGCTCAGTGGGTGACCTTGGGCTAGTTGTATACCCTTTACCTAACCTAACTCACAGGGTGTTTGTTAGGATAAAACAGAGGAGATATCAAGCCTCTATGGGGAGAAAAGTAGGCTATTATCAAAAACATGTCCTTTCTATAACTTCATGTTGGGCTGAACCATAACCAGAGAGTTAAAAAGAATTGTGTTAACACACAGGTGCTTCTTGCTAACTGTTACACTGAACCTTGTCCTGGAGGATTAATTGCAAATGACTTTAAAGTGCCCTTGGATCTGAACAGGGGAGAACTCAGTGGAAATCTGTTGTTGCTCTCTTTAGCACAATACTGACACTGGAGGGACAGACCATTCCTGCAGCATCTGTGGAAAGTCTTTGAGCTCAGCAAGCTCCCTGGATCGCCACATGCTTGTGCATTCAGGTGAAAGGCCTTATAAATGTTCGGTGTGCGATCAGTCCTTCACTACCAATGGAAACATGCACAGGTAAGAGCTAGTGTGGAAGATACGTGTGTATGCACGTGCGTGCTCCGGGCGTGGCTTAATCCATGTCCTTTATCCCCTTTCATGGCTGCAGTTCCTTTTGGCGCGCACACATTTTCTCCTGACAACTGCTCCTCGCAGTGAGTCATGGGTCTTCTCTTGGGACAGCTTGTGGGACTGTGGGGGCTTGAGAGACAGTCTGTCTGGGCACGTGGAGATCTGTTTGGCTCTGTGTGCCGGAGGCCTCTTCTCCAGCAAGCTATATATTTAGGTATGTATGTATGTATTTATTTATTTAATTCGGTTTATACCCCGCTCTCCCTGCCAAAGGCAGGCTCAGGGCGGCTTACATAAAATTTCACATAAATACAATTAAAACCTATCATGGGCACATAGACATAAAATAACATTCATTTCAAATATCCTAGAACGCTGGAACATAAAATGCAGATTAAAAAACGGGAGCAGAAGTTATTTAGAATGCAGCTTAAGGTGACTGTATGTTCTGACGGTATTCACGTCAACTCAGTTATTGTGCGGTGGGCACAGGCTGGAGATAAAAGATGGTGAAGCCGGGGCACAGGGGAACTCCTCGGCAATGCTCCCTCTAAGCTGTGGAGTCTTGTGAGCAAAACTTCTACTTTGTGAACTGCTGGCATTAAAGTTGTGAGCAAGCGATTTGGCTGCTGCCTAAATTAGTTTGCTCTTCTGGAGCCAGCCTTCCTGAGCTAAGACAAAAATGTGTGAGCCAGAGGCTAAAAAACTGTGAGCTAGCTCACATTAACTCAGCTTAGAGGAAACATTGCTCCTTGGTGTATAATGCGGCTCCTTAGTCAAAAGCTTGGCGGAAGAGCTCCGTCTTGCAGGCCCTGCGGAACTGTAGAAGGTCCCGCAAGGCCCTGATCTCTTCCGGGAGCTCATTCCACCAGGATGGAATCACCACTGAGAAGGCCCTGGCCCTGGTTGTAGCCAGCCTGGCATCCCTGGGGCATGGAGAGGGCCCCAAGTGACAATAGTTTGCAATACTGTACTGGAGCTCTTCCCTGGTTGGATTTTGAACTGTCTTTGGGATCAGCCTGATGGTTCAGATGCCTTTGTTAGAAAACGGCACACAGTTTTCGAACAGTTTTATCTCTGCAGCTGTCATTGTAGAGAGCCTGGCAGCCTTCCCCAAACTGCCTCCGTGGTGGTTCCTGACTCACTGAGCATCGCTGTCAGGAAGTGTGTCATGCCTCCAAAAGTGAAACAGCCCCTCTAGGATGGGTGATACCACTGCTTTGTCAGAGTTGAGCAGGTGGAATGGAAAAATAACCTCCTGTTGGTAGTATTTCTTCCGTGATCAAATTGGTGTGGTTTCCAATCTAGAGGTATGCCTTGCTTTGTTTCCTTTACCACGATTGTGCCACACTTTAGAAACCCCTCCAGATCTTTAGTTCAAACAGATATGTCAAATTTCAAGTCACTTTTTTTTTTTGCTTTTATTTGGTGCACCAATATAGACAAACCTCTGTGGAGGATCACATGAAAAACTGCCCTTCTGAAAGCATCCTTAATTTGCAGTTCGTTTCTTGCTTGCATCATTTGTGGACAATATCGGGAAACCAGTCACTAAACCTCAACCTGCAAACTTTTCTTTATCCATTCAGTAGTTTATAGTCCTAATACTTGAGAGTAAATACTCTAGCTCTCCATAGATAATGGGAGGTGCCCCCCCTCTCCAGTAAAGGATGTTGCATATAATGCAGAGTGATAGGAAGATCTTAAACAAGTTGCTTATCTGTTGCCGGGTTTCATGTTCATTTGGTGTCTTTAGGCGGTTCATCAGACATGATCTTTGGAAGCTTGGGTTTAAAGGAGGCAAATGGCAGGGCAGGTGAACAATATACCAGTATTTTAGTGTGCCTTTCCCCCCCTCCCCCCAAGACGTTCCTTCTAAGCTAAAAAGCTAAATACTGTGCTGAAATGACTAGAACTGTCTGCCCAAGGGCACAATTCAACTTGCAAATCCAAAGGTTTCTTTGGCATCTTTCATTGCAAACATTTTGTATTGTGTATTGAACTTTTTAAAAGAAATTGGCAAAGAAACCAGTCTGATGGTAATCTCAGAGAGGATTACATTTGTGGAGGTGTAGAAAGATGGCAGCAGCACTCTCCCCCAACCCCGTAAGACCTTAAGTAGTGCCCTAAGGTGCGGGACCGAAGGTTGTGCTCATTTTAAAACAGCAAACTTTATTGTTGGCTTCAGTAGAAGCATTTCAGTGTTGCCAACAAACTGACCCTGTGAAATAGGCTTAGACTTGAGGATGCATTTTCAGTGGCATCTTCTGTTGTTTTTTAGAACCAAACCCCAAGTTCAGTATCCTGAAAGTAACAGTAATGACTCAGTGTGGAGAATTATTGCATCCAGCTATGCGGTTCAAGAGACACTGAATGTGGAGATCGTGTTGGCAGGATTTTTGCCTGTCTGCTGTGCCGAGCTGCCCATCTGATCCCTGGAGCAAGCTCTCTTCAGATACCTCTCTTGTTAATGGGATCGATAACTTGCAAAATGTCGCAGGCCACTAGATGCCCTTTGCCTCGAGCACAATGCTCCATTGACCTGCATCATACTGGCCTCTTCCCTGGTCACAGAAGGAGAATATTTTGACATGTTGCTTTTCTGAGTGGGGAAACTTGAATTGTGAAATGCATGCATTTGGAAGCTGCTGTGCTCTCCCACTCTGATGCTTTTGCAAGGCCCAAATCTTAGCTGTCCTCAGGACTGGAAAAGGGAAAGACTTGTAGTAATTCTCCAGGCCATTTGCCTAGTGTAACCTTAGTGCTGCCTTTTCCATATTCTTAAGCCTTACTGAGATCAGTGTGAAAGTTCCAGGCAAGCGTCAGGGACTTTTATTCCCCATTCCCTTTTAGATCTCCAGGGGCCTGTAGACTTTTCATAGGGTCCGGAGTACAGCGGTAGCTTTGGTCACATGCTCTGCTGGCAAACGTAGATATGAGCTCATACTAGCAGGTTTGCATTTTCCTCCTCTGTTCAGAGCCAGTGCCAGAAGGGATCCCATTCCCTTGAGAAAAACGGTGAGCTTATCCTGAATCAAGGAAAGGTGGGGCTCTTCGAGTTGTTTTTGCAAGCTGCTGCATTTGAGTCATATGTGTAAAGGCACGTCTGCATCACAAATACTAACATGCCACGGCTTCCTTTCCAAGAAATCCTTTGGAGGGGTGTTTTCAAGAGAGGGCGGCTCCTAAAGAGGGTTTTGTAGCATCCTCTCCACAATTCCCAGAAATGCTTGCTGAGCACCTGTGACCGTTGCACAGCCCAGTTCTGGCCATATTGGTTCCATAGGATAATTCCCTCCTTTCTCTGATCCATCAGAAAGATGCAGTCATTTTTTTTCAGTTAGCATCTTCTCCTTTCTGATGAGAACTTCTACTAAAAAACCCTGAAAACCCCGAATTCTGCATTTTGGTTCCTGTATGGGGGGGCTGTACTTCAGCTCACCTGGCCACGGAGAACAGGCAAAGATTTAAGACTGCGTAGATCTCTTAGGTTCTTTCTGCATTTGCCTGCCACTCCGGATTTTCTCAGTGTTCACATTGAGGCAATTTAAGTCCACGGCAAAACAGGATCCAAATAACCCCGGGGAAACAGCAGACTGAAACCGGGCTGACCACTGAAGGCTGGTAATGTAATGCAGAATGGGGGGGGGGGAACCTGGATTAAAAAGAAGGTTGAATTTGATTTTAATACAGAATTGCTTGGAGGACACCGCAGTGGACATGGATGAAAAGGAGAGTGCAAAAAAGTCTTCTGCAGGATGTCCTGTGACCACGGCCCATTTGCTGGCTCCTTTGTGTGTCACTTGTGCACAGGGGCCATGCTAATCTTCTCTGTATCATTTCAGTCTTAGTGTATGTGCTGCTAAAGTGAGTTTGCTGGCTCCTTCAGTGCTGCAATGCACTGCCACAAGTGGGTATGGTGATTGAGCAGGGAAAATGTCTCTTGGGAGTTCACAACTACTGAGAATTGGGTGTTTTTGTGAGGAAGAGACAAAACGGTAGGGGGCAAGCATTTCAGTAGTATCGTAACTTTCGGTTCTGAGGTGTTCCACATCGGGCACTGAATGTGTAGACCTCCGTGGGGGTGAGGGTGCCGCTGCTGAAGTCCTCAGGCTGCTTGGGAGTTGTTTGGTAAAAAAACGTCAGCGCCAATGTTCCCTCTAAGCTATGGAGTCTTGTGAGCAAAAATTCTTCTCTGTGAGCTGCCGGCATTAAAGTTGTGAGCCCAGTGATTTGGCTACTGCATAAGTTAGTTTGCTCTGGAGCCATCCTTCCTGAGCGAAGACAAAAATGTGTGAGCCGGAGGCTAAAAAACAGTGAGCTAGCTCACACTAACTCAGCTTAGAAGGAACACTGGTCAGCGCTGCCGTCTGTTGTTGCTTCTTTCTGATTGCTCTCACCTTTACCCATCAGCAGTATTCAGGGGCGGAGGGCGTTTTACCGCGTTAGACTATATACGAAGGTCCAGTGAGAAGAGCTTTCTGCCTTGCGGTGCAACTTGCCTCCCTTAAACCTCTGAGCAGCATAATTTCGACACTGTAATAATACATTCTGTCAGGCCAGTAGCCACGGTGGGGCATTTGGGGGCAGCGCCCCCCGCCCCAGGTTCCTGTCAGACCACTCCCACCCCCAGTGTGCCACGCTCCTTACCTGGTGGGCAGGCACCACTGCCTCACCGGCTCTTCCTGCTGCTTCTGCGGAGCGGGAGGGAGAGGGGTGGCCTCGCTGGGAAGCGGGAAGCAGCAGGAGGAGCCAGCGAGGCAGCGGTGCCTGCCCACCAGGCAAGGAGTGTGGCATGGCACAAGGGGGTGGGGTGGGGGTGGGTGGAATTGTGTGTCTGCGTGTGTGTATGGGGAGGGGGAGCAGAGGCAGGAAAGTTCATGTTCCGAACGAAGGGCAAGGGATTTGTCGCAAAGCGTCACTGCGCTTGAGCGGGAGAGGTTGCA